TTGTTAAACTTCTGCGTGACATGGCCGGGACGGATCCTTCGCTTTCCAAAAAGACGACAGTCGATGCGCTCGACAGCGAGGGGCCGGGGGCAGCGGCTGAAAAGTTCGACGAAAGTGTGCAGGCTTGGGCAGTGGTTGAAACGACACTTCGGACTTGCACCGACTTTGTGCGGTTCGTTCACCTTCCATTTTCTCTTGCGCAACAAGGCTCAACCAATCATACTGGTTGCAATCAAGAACGACATGGGCTTGGAGACTCTCCTATTGGCTGGTGCGTTGCTCATCCTATCGATGAAACTCTCTCTCTTTCTCTCTCTCTCTCTCTCTCTCTCTCTCTCTCTCTCTCACACACACACACACACACACACACACACNTCTCTCTCTCTCTCTCTCTCTCTCTCTCTCTCTCTCTCACACACACACACACACACACACACACACGCACGCATGCACGCACGCACGCACGCACACACACATACACGCACACACACACACACGCACGCACGCACACGCATGCACGCACACACACACACACACACTCACACACACACACACACACACACATACACACACACACACACGTCGAGATGCAGCCTTCACAGTGCAACCACTTTGTACCTCGATTCGCTATGAAACGTTGCACACGCATCTCGACGATCTAAACATTGGAATGTATCGGGACAATTACGATTTTCAGATATGTAAATGTGTAGTGGAGCTCTCTCTGTGTGTCTCTCTCTCAATGGAGTTTGCATCATCTCTCTCTCTCTCTCTCTCTCTCTCTCTCTCTCTCTCTCTCTCTCTCTCTCTCTCTCTCTCTTTCTCTCTCTCTCTCTCTTGTGTGTGTATGTGTGAACCCTCCCGTTCTGATCTCGTGCCACATTGCTTGTCATCCCCATTTCACCTGGGAATCACGATAGTCGAATGCCACAGCTGGAAATCCAAAGCCCATGTAAGGTAGGTCTCACAATTTCTCTCGCTAATTAATTTGAAATGGAAAGCCCGCGCAAGGTAGGTGGTTTCACGGTTGTCCGTCATGAGTGGAAATGGAAAACCCGCACAAAGTCGTTGTCATTATTTTCCGCCATAAAGATATTTCGCGGGGTTATTGCTGTAATTGGAAATGGAAAGTTCGCGCAAGCTAGGTGTCGCTGTTTCCCGCCATAAGTGGATATGAAGGAAGCCCGCGAAAGGTTGTTTTCATTATTTCCCGGCGAAATCCCGCCATAAAATTAAACATGGATATTCTGCCGAAGTAGGCCGACGTTCATTTTTTGGGGGGTAATGGTTAGCCGAATGGTAATGCCTACATTCCGACTGCCGGGGAGCGTTAGCTCTTGATTCATTGAATGTGGCGACCTCATTTGTTCCTTTCTTGTCTAACGTAGTCGTTTCCTCCCTGCGCACCCGCGCTTGTCTTTGCTTTCCCTCTCTCACCTCCTCTCCTCCGATCTCCTCTTTTGTTCTAACCTTCTGTTACTGCCATCTGACCACATACTCCCTCTAGGACTTTCTCGACTGAACCCCCTGGACGTGATTGAGGTCCAATGCATCCAGTTTTAGCAGTAATTGACGCCAGATACATCTAGGAGGGAAGTGTTGGTGTGGCTAAAGTTGTCTTCCCTTTCTTTCCTTTCCTTTGGCACTCCCATCTTCCCCCTACCCTCTCAGAACTCGACGCGCTTCCTCTCTCTCGTTTCCCGCCTACCGTCTTCCCCAAACATAGCGCACCCTCATCATGGCCTTATGGGACTGAATTGATAGCTTTATAATACATTCACAACCAGTGTGCGTTTTGTTCGGGGGAAGTCGATAGCCGTGTTCCCTATCTCATCCCTTCTCTTCTCCTCTTAACCCTCCTCTCTGCTCACACTCTCTGCCCACGTCTTCCCTCGTGGCTCTTTCTTCCCTCCTCTATCTTTCGCATGTCCTCCGCGTCCCTGCCCACTTCCCCCCCCCCCGCGTGGCCTACTGCTTCAGTTTCTTCTTCCCTCACTTCTGATGTCCCCCCCCTGTCTCTTATACACATCTAGATGTGTATAAGAGACAGGGGTTGTACGGAGGGGCGGCGACCGTACTGAGGCGCCGGGTTGTGCGGAGGCCGACGGGTCCATATCCCGCCATTTTCCAAGCGATAACTTTGTC